TACACAAGGCAGGGGATGCCCCGGATGGGATGCCAATCCCACACATGGCATGAGGCAGGGGACTCCCTGGACGGGATGCCAGTCCCTTAAAGGGCACAAGGTAGGGGACTCTTTTTGGCAGGATGTCAGCCCATGACAGTGCAAACATGCAAACAGTCAAATGCTATGGGCAATTTAGAAGCAAAAATTTGCATACCTGAGTTTTTGGAATGCTGGAGGAATAGTTTTTATTATTTGCAGGAAAGGTGCACTTTGGCTAAGTATTTACACAAGTCAGACAGTCCCAGGAGTAAGTGGGGACATAGGGCCTTGCTAAGAAGCCCAAAGTTAAGTTACTATGTCAAGTTTTGCATTGAAATCTGACACGTTCCAGTCATAGGTACAGCGTTTTAACTCGCTGAGCCGCAAGCCACCCGTACCAACTTGTGTCTTGTGGTCTCTTGTGTCCAGTCCAGAGTTTCACCCAAGTCTACTTATATTCTAAAGTTTTAAAATGTATTTAAAATAAATATGGGAATCTCGACTGCATAATTTCTGGAAGTGGGGGACTGCATTCGCGCTCTCCCCTGATTTTTTTGCGGGCAGTGGTGGCTTGATGGTTAGGGAAGCGTGCTTGTAATCAAAAGATTACAGGTTTGAATCCCCGACCAGCAAAACACCACTGAGGTACCCTGAGCAAAGTACCACCCCCAAGCACTGCTCCCCGGGCACTGAATTAGCTGCCCCCTGCTATGTAACGAAAGTCACATATGGGTTAAATGCAGAGGACACATTTCATTGTTGCACACTGTGTGCTGTGGTGTGTTGACAATGACCAGTGATCAACTAATTCTATTCTACAGAACCTGATAAAGGCTCTAGTTAATCCAAAACCAGGCTCTCCTACCTGCTCCCAGCAGCGCTAAAGTCTCCACAGTCCCACCGGAGAGCAGATGCCATCTAAGCGTTCATCTCAACGTCTCCCACTAGATGGCACTGTAGCACATTCATTTAATGCCCTATATGTCAAGTGTATTTGATTTTTGGTTCTCTGAGGATCAATCAATACTTCAGAATCCATCAGGGAGGCAATCATTTCAAAATATTCCAGGAAGTATGCCGTGGGTCATTATTCCCAAGCATTAGACAGCTTCGCAGGGAAGTGGGACACAGTTTAATAAAGCAAATCAATGCATGCATCACAACATTAAACGGCAGAACCATTACTGCCCAAGTTTTCAAAGCACATTTTCTCCTGTGCAGTTTTCAGTGATGTTTTTTCTTCTAAACATTTTCAGGTGCTGTTAAGCTTGCATTTGCAGGAATTCCTTATCTCAGCATTACATCGGTATCAGCTTTGTTTTTTTCCTTAGAACACAGCTACTTAAATATCTATGATACAAAATTCTTTTTGGAGAATTGCAAGATTCCAGAAAATATACACCAAAAGCCCAATTTTAACAACATATTGCTAGCTATTCCTGTTTGTAAATGTAGCGTACATTTGGGATACCTGTTTACCAGTAAAGGACCTGGTATAGTTTATTGGACTTTGTAACACCTGTCCAAAACCTTACTACTGTAACTTTGGCTGTACCATTCTCCAACCGTGAAATATAAACTTAATCCCCAGATTACATTTTTTATTTTTTAAGTGCCATTCATTTTCACCATGAACATAGTTCTGCTTTTACTGTGAGTCAAGCCCTTACTTAATGTTTGAATCACATAATTGCAATGGTGAGCTTTCAGCCCTAAACTTACAACCCAATTTTTCACATCAAAGACCCTTTCATATTCCATCCAATATGTGCATGATTTTTCCCAGAGACCTATCCTACAGTATATATGGGCTGTTGTTTAAATATTTTATACATCCATTCAGGTACTGAATTGAGAAAGTGATGATGTCAAACAAAACATATGAATATGTCGGCCATGCCTTAATTATGGGGAAAATGTGGATTTTGGTATAGAGAGTTAGGGTTAGGTTTGTTGGGTCATTCCAATGAAAACAAATCACATTATGAATTTTTTTTTTTATGTTCCATTTTGTATTTTGTGCTTCACAGCAACCTGAAGGGAATTTGTGCATAGCTACTGGCTTAGGAATCCCTGGGCAGACCCCCAACAAGAGAACGTCTACAGATACCCACACACCCATATATGAACCTGGCACTGCTGTGACTTTTCGGGGTCTGCTTGGTTCCTTGCTCTCGCTGTGCCTGCAGATAGTGAGGCCTCCTCACCTTTAATAAGTCCAGCTGCTGACGGCTGCTGTTACATGCTGATAAAAGACCCCTTTTTATGGCCAAAAACACAGCTGCGTTCAATTATCGTTATCACACGTATGTGACAGCGGTGTGAGTGCTGAGCTTTCACGCTACAGCTTCAGATAATAAGTCACAATTCCTCTTAAAGCATTCACGGCTTGCTCTGGGCCCCCGAAAGACACAGATATTTGCCTGATCTAATTCTGTGGGTCTGCTGATCCGCTTGCCTGTCTCTGTCTGACCGGCTGCCCAAACCACAGTGACCACAGACAGACGACACGCTATTGCCACACTACAGACCGCTGGGGGAAGATACTGCATGGAGGGAGAGTCGCATGGTCTCCGTACCCCGACAACAGGCTCCCAAAAGCTTTGTGCCAGAACTTAAACACATTACAGCAAAGAGCACACATTCAGAGCAACACTTCTGTTCTTAATACTAATGGTGAACTGGGAGCCTAGTAATGGAAGCCCCAGTATGTGCCATAGCGTGATTGGGAGTTTTTGTATAGTAGGCTATCGTATTATTGTACAGTATAATTCTATGTATATGTGAAAATGGCTTAAAATAAAGCCCGCTTTTATACCAACACTGATTTAAATTTCAAATTTAAGATGAATCATTGCCAAATAAGAAATGTTATTACTTTCTTATAAGACTCATGCATTTTATTCCCACCCTAAAGCAACAAATAAAAAGTAATAAAACTGAAACTTTTAATAAGTACCTTTTAGATTCCCCTTAGGTGCTTTGCTTAGCAAGAAAATATCAATATTTCAACCTAAAGATTGCCTTGATTTGAATTTTGTTTAACTTGCCTTTACTTGCACGAGGAGTAATGACTTGTCTGTGATTATTGTTATTATTCATGCTCTTCACTGGCATCATGACAGTTGATAATATTGTACCTCCAAAGCAAATTAATTTCTGGTTCATTGAGACTCCGATTTTTTACCCCAGTCTTCTATCGTCATTTTTTATCAGACTGGATATGTAAGCGCAGAGTCCCGTGAGTTATTTACATAGCTATATACTTAAATTATTCGTTTGAGTGCGCTGTGAAATAAGTAGCTATGATAGTTAAGAATAGATAACTGGTACCAGCCAGCTGAAAAGCGGACCGGAATAACAGAGACTATGCAACGGTGTTTATTTCTAAGCTGTCCGTGGGACAAGTTGGCCTGTTGTATTAATCAGTAGGAAAGGTCTTCTGCGTTGATACGTATTCCACATTTACCGAACGAAAATACCCAATAATGGAATATGTAATATGCATCAATGTAGAAGACATTGCGTTATACATATTAATACAATACTGGGCAACAAGGGAATTATGGGGTAACCCAAATAGACAAAGTTAGTCTCATTCACTTCCACAGTCAATTTAAAAAAAAAAAAAAAAATAAGCTAAATGACGTTGTTCTAATTGTATATCATTTTAAAACTTTAGACATCAACTGATTTGAAATGGCCACTAAATCCAAAAACCTTCAGAAAACTATTCCCAAAAAAGCAGCATATTTGTAAAGCTGAGAACAACGTACAGTAGCGGTACGTAACAGCACAATACGGTAAGCTCTTCATACAGGGTTTATATGTACGTACAATTATAGTTTCTTAAAAAACGCTTAGAACCTACACATAAAATAATAAGAAGGAATTATTCAGCTTTTATTGGGTTTATATTTATTGGAAGACTAAGAACAAGTTCAGAAAAAGATCTTCCTGTATTTATTTTGAGCTTTAAATATGCTGCTTAAATAGAGGGATTTTTAACCGTGACTTTCTAATATTGCGCATCATATAGTCGCTTTCTTTAAAGTAAAAGATCTGCATTCAAATATCTGTTCGACCTTTCCTTAAAAAATTAAGGAACTATCAATTATCAAAGCTGTTAATCATGGCGTTTCATCGTGATCCGGGCATTCCATTATGAGTTATTAAGGATACATGCGGCATTTGTCCAGTAGGTTAAACGCCAGGCGTGGCATTTGTCCTGTAGGGGGTGCACTATACAGATTTGGACTTCTGCACCTGCCCCTCTTTCGGGCCGGTTTTGATTGGTGTCGGCCTTATGGCACCGGGCTGACACAAGTCAGAGCCCACATCGCGCTGCCAAGCGCCGAGAGAATCTGCTGCATGAAAGGACCAGAAAGAAAGACATACAGAAAAGCACACTCTCCTCGGTTAAAATGTTCAGCTACCCTATCGCATGCTGCATGATTTCCACCTCTTAATATGCCGTTTGCGCATTGTTGGCATTTTGCTGCTCTCAGAAAAGTTACAGATGAAAAAAACAAGCGAGCAGAGGCAGCCTGATGTGCGGAGCTGACAGGCAGGCGCGCATTTCTTTGCTGCTTCCTGTTCAGCTGTACGTGCCGGGCGCGCGCCTTAGTGCCTGCAGGTAGCGCGGCTGTATGTGTGCTACTCCCTTAGTGGCGTTTATCGCAACTTTTGCCTCTTACGAATATAAAAACAGTGCACATTTGTTATTCACATAGCTGCCCGTTTCCCATTAACAGGCAGTATTGACCGTAACGTTACGTCAGTATTGATAACTTTACCAAACCGAAATCAAGTGCAATTGCACATTACACGTATCTACAGGACTGCACTAACCTTTTAAAGAAAATCCTTTTGATATACAGTACGTTTTGAAATACTGGAACTCACAAAGAGCTCTGCATCTGTACATTTCTCAATGTAGTTATAGACTTTTTACATTCTGATAAGGTGTGTGTGTGTGTGTGTGTGTGTGGGTGTGGAACGAGCAACCGACAGCGCTGTTTATTGAAGGGAATCCAGCCCATATATTTAGTGTAGCCGCTGAGAAAAAAAAATCTCTTCAATATCCCCCAAGATGGCCGCCGATGTGGGATCGATGTTTCAATATTGGAAGAAATTTGATCTGCGACGGCTTCAGGTTAGTGGTCTTTTTCACCTTTCGTGGGAATAAGAACATGTAGATGGTGCGCTATCGGAAATTGAAGCGAAATGTGCTTTTTGGAAGTTTAAGTGGGAAAATAAGAGTGTTGCATTGATAGATATTAGAAATTGATCCTCTTCTGCCTTTGTTCAGTTCAATCATTGATCAGCGGCGGAGCGACCATGGAGCTCGGCGCTCCGGCTCCGGGCGCTCCGTGCTCAGGCTGCGCATCAGCGGCGCACTTTGCTTTAGCTTTAATACCTTCAGTGGCTCGTTTTCCGTGCCAATTGGTGATCTTTTTGAGAGAATCGTAACTTTTAATGTCATCTGGCTTTTGCCTTTTGGATGTAACTGTTTTCTTGATAAAAAAAAATCCCAGGTTTCTAAAAGATGTTCTTAATGTCAGGTGACTCTGATTTGTGTCGGTGTTTTTGCAGTTTGGGTTTATATGCTTAAACGGTCGCTTTTAATAAGTAAACGGAATCTTAGCATTTCTTTAACGGCTTTTGCATTTTAGGGAACTTTGCCAGATTCTTAGAGTTGCGCAAAGTTTCTGTGTTTTATTTTTTACGCAGTTCTTTTATGTAATATAATAGATTTTCTGCTATTTCTTAGCCGTCCATTTATTTAAACTGGTGGGTTTGGGCAATGGTTGTTAGTTTGGTAGTGCTGAGTGGGACATTTTCTGTAAATGTGCACCTTACAATAACGTTGTTTCTACCTGTTTATGTTTGAGTCCTGCTTTATTGGACCGCGTGGTACTGAGATGTGTATTATAACTTAGGAGATTACTGTGTTTTAATTATTGGGTAAGTTTCTGCATGTGAACTGATATCGTTTTATTTTATATGCCATCTCCAAGCTATGAATAAACTTTGTAATTAGTTACTTAAAGTGGATCATATTATTCATTGCGATTTATTAGATTCCATGTTCAGCATGAGTATTAATTTAGTTTATTAAATATTTGCTAGATCTTATATCAGTTTAAAATTCCGTTAGTGACGACAGTTTTCGTATCTGTCCCAATGCCATACAATGTGCAGCATCATGGAATTGTTCTTTAAAATGGGTTTATTGTACCTTCTGAAACGCAAACCTCTCGTCTTTTCTCCCCCGCCCCCAGTCCTTCTCTCCAAGCGCATTGTGAGCACTTTTCGACCGGGGACTGTGTAATTGTATTCCCTGCTAATGTTTGTAAATCAGACTTGGGCAGCGCGAGGGCAGAGTCGCTGCTGCATGATTGATGTCCCGCAACATGAGGGATGACAGCGGGATGGTGAACCGGGTCCGGCGGAGCAGCCTGGCGGCCAGAGGATTCGCTCTGCTCCGGGCAGCCTTGTGTGGCCCCGTTTCTCCGCGGTGCATTACTCCCGGAGCCCGAGCGAAATTCACGGTGTCAGACGAGCCATTGTTGGCTTTGAACAGCGCTGACTTTCATTCACGCTCGGCAGCACCGCGAATTCAGGGAAAAGCATCGCGGTCGGGAGCGTTCAGACTTGGCTATCAATCCCTGTTACACTTGGCATCCGCTCCTCTTCACTAAAGCGGCTGATGTTTTGAGTCTCGTTATTTAAACGTTGTTTTGTTATTCAAAGCGATTTATAAATACGATCACGGGCGCATTTTGTGGTGATCCTGAAGAGGGGAAGCTGATGCAGCACTTCAGGCTGGGGAGTCTTTCTAGTAGCGTGTCTTTCTGAAATAATAGGCGTTTGTAGGAGCTCGTGTTAGTCCGTGTCCATTACCCCAGGTTAACCTTAAAGGCAGCGCGAAGAAAAACGTAGAAAGGCGAGATGGTCCTGCCTATGAAAAGAATTATCAGTTATTGTATGCTTTGTATTTAAGATGCATAACTGTAATCCACTTCCAAAAATCGTCTTCTTCTTCTTCTTCTTATTATTATTATTATTAATATAATTATTAATTATTTATGATTATTATTATTATTAGTTCAAGAAAAACTCCTGGTTGACAGACTAATCAAGTTACATATATACAGAAGAAATTCTCTGTAAAAAAAAATCTTGTAATGTTAGATCTGCTGATTTTAGGATATGGGTTTGTTTTGTTACATGCGCATTTATTGCGATGTTGACACGACTGCCCTCAAATGCTTTGTGAAACATGTCCCTCGGCGTCATGGCAGCACTTAAGAGATGCGATGGTGCATGCAGTGTGCATGCAGTGAGACCTCACGGACTCCGCTGCAGTTTCCTAGACGGGCAGAATCGTTGATCTCTCTCTTTCATCATCAGCTCACCTCAGGTGATTTTCGTACTGGGCACAGTAACCCGCAGGCTTGTGCATTTTGAATGGAAACCTGGATGAGGTGAGTATTTGGTATGAAATTAAGTGGAAGAATCCAAAGAAACAATAAGGATAAAATCAGAGGGCATGGTTTCAATGCCTTTAAAGGCTAAAAAGCGTGATTTTCCAAGCAGCCATTTTGATAGCTGAATGCCACCATGGCGACACCAATAAACAGTGAAAACCTTTTCCTACAGGCAGACAAGTTCCTTTGAAGTGCTTTGGTTACCAGATTTATGACTGGGCTCCCAAATATATCTGAAAACATAATACATAAACCCATCACTGCATTTTTGATGTAGTGGAATTTCTTTATTTAAAAGAAAATTCTTTAAAATGAGGGTGGTCGTAACTTAAATATTCTTACTGTTGCCTTTCCATAATCTGGGCCTTTATGACCCGTTTCTGCCAGACTGCTTACTCACTGTGGTGTTTTTTTTAATGTACACTAACTCTGATAACAAAATACAGTTTTTAAACATTTTCTTCCAAATAACAGTAGTGTTTGCATGTGCAAAATGCCATGTGCATCTTGGAAGGGAAGCAGAGCTCGTTGTGCCATTTGTAATGATGGCAAATGAAACCTTGCTGGCCTAGTAAATGTCCTTTGACAATATTCAGTGCTGTTTTTGTGCGTATTAAACATTTGCTTGATTTTTTCCCCCCTGAATTCCCCTCGACATCTGGTGTGAGTGTTGGTAGACAGATGTGTTTCTGCATGGAATTAATGAGCATGAGGGTGATGCTTTTTATTTCAGCTTAAATTCCCTGCTTGATTTGGGAAGGGCGTTTTTTATTTTTGCATGTGGACTATGGGAATCTCAGAAGGGGGAAGATGTTCAGCTGCTGCAGATGACAGTGTGCAGATAAGCGGAGGGTTTACCTTTGTGATGAGTGTACACGGTCGTGCTGGGGGCGATGGCTTCTCAGTGGACAGTCAGAGCCAGCGGGGGCCTACATGAGAATAGGGAAACCTGAAGCAAAGGCACATTTTTAGTGTTTATTAGTATTTATGTCCCTTTTCTTTCGGGAAACCTGATGTTGTCCATCCGTGTTTATCGTCTTGACATGGTGATTTTCTAAATGAATAGGAATTGTCAGATTTTTCAGTTCTGAGTATAATATCGTGCTCTATGACCACTAGCTAGATTGAGAAATCCAGATTTCTCTCGCGTCATTCCCGTCTTGTGTGAATTGCCAGGCTGTAGGAACGTCGCTTATTCCCAGGCCGCCGTGGAAATGGAACAAAGTAGCACGTGCGAGGCTGAGGTCAGCGAGTAGCTGTGAAGCTGCGCGGCCAACAACCTGCCTACTGCTGCTGGGGCCTCACCTCCCTGCAGCGGCTCCGTGGGGGTCAGCAGGGTTAGGCCTCGCCTGCTCCCCCCCGCGGCGGCTCTGCTGGGCCCGACAGCGTTAGGCCTCGCCTGCTACCCCCCCGCGGCGGCTCTGCTGGGCCCGACAGCGTTAGGCCTCGCCTGCCACGTGGCAGCTCTGCCGGGCTGCATGCAAACATCACGCCACGTATGAGAGTATGGGAGTCTGCCAGCGCCTTCCGCACGATCTTTCCCGCGAAGCACATGGCAGAGGCAGCGCGGTTAAGCTTCTCCTTAGCGGAGCAGACACGCGTCAGTGTGCTTTGGCGCAGGCAGCACAGCCAGGAATCGCTGCCAGTTGCGTTGGTGCTCAGTTGCAAACTCGACACTTGTTTTCATGCTTCCGTGTTGTAGTGTGAGGGCTCGTGAGCAGTTGGAGTGGATTAAAACAATGGCACGTGCTGACAGGGGCTGCTTTATGGCTGTCCTCTGTACGAGCGTCTTAAACTGAGCCATACCTGTTGGGGAGGGGGGGGGGGGTTCTGCAATCTCAATGTGTTGAGCCATATGGACCAGAAACTTCATCCAAACAGGAGATGGTGAAGTTTAGCCTGAACGGGTGTTTATATGTGATGCAGACATCCTGCCCCTGGCCCTGGGGCCTGCTGCTTGGCTGCCACTCCCTGCTTGTGTTTCTTTGGTTTAACCTAAGCTGGGTCCTCTTGGGCTGAGTTACCTTCGGTTCTTGTCTGGTTCCAACAGTAGAAATGCTATGCCGGTGGGACACACAGACACCGCATGCAGAGAGATGAGAGTGAGGCCTCTTCTCAAAATGTCCCCAGTGTTCCTTGATGGTTTTGACAGTTCTCCTCTTCGTGTTTGGTCCAGTATTTCGTCTGCTGGCTCTGTTTGAAGGAGCCTGAAATGAATCAGAAGCTGCAGCCGTTTCATATGGCTGCATTGTGACTGAGAAGGTTTGGAGTCAGTGTTTGTGTCCGAAAAGTCACTGTTTCAAATCCTGTGGCCGGCAGAGTGATTGTGTCACGGTTGGGTCCTTAACTCCTCGTACTGCTCCGGGGGCTGGCTGAGCCCATGCCCCCCCTCCAAGCTTCAGACTCTCCTGTTTGGCGCATAGGAGTGCATGATGGGGTATGAGGCAAAATAAAGTGTCATTATTATGAAGGATGATTATACCCGTGGTGACCTAGAATGATCAGCACTCACCATGGAAGGCTGCTTGAACAACAGCAGGAAGCCGACGCAGAGCTCACACCCGTGACATTGTGCTCCAGTCCTTCTGCGGCTGTGGTCCCTGCTGTCCGTGGCCTATTTTCCACCACGATTCAGAGAGGGTCCACCCTCCGTCGAGACGCG